GCTGGAGTCATTACAGTGACTTTGGACAAAAGTCTGCTCATCACATCAGCCATTTTTTTAATCCAAATGTGCAGATAGACAATTCACTGTGAGGAAAAGGTGGGACAAAAAGAAGTGAAAAATACAAATTCCAAGTTTTTGTATTTATAACAGTACTTCTGTTTCTAGAAGATGAGAGATTCAAAGTGAAATGATTTAGAGTAAGTGGCATGTTGTTTTGACCATGGTTTGTAGTAAAAGGTGGCTATCAATCCAGATGCATATTTACACGGAATGGGTAAGTCATCCATTTACATCCTTCTGCAATAAAGGGAAACAGCCAAGAGAAAGTTCTGGCTTGCAAATCCCCAACCTGAGTATATCTGAAGAATGAGTTGAACTAGAGAGATGTGGGATTTAACCACAGCTCAGCACTGCAAAACTGCATATGGGTAACCTTCTCTCTGTAAGGCAAGAATTCTCATTTAGTGTCTGTTCTGTTGGTGATTTTAGCAGCCTGGTTAAGATGCTCTTGCAAGTTCCTAACACAAGTTTTCTCTAATCAACACAGAACTGGGCTTATCTGTTGTCAATTCCATGTTAAGATACTTTCATCTGCCACTTATTGAAAACTTAAGTGCTTAGCCCAGTGCAGAAAAGCCCACCTAGTCACTGCAAAGAGAAGTGTAGGCAGGAGATAATACTGTGCCTATATTCCATAAGTTAGGTTTTTGAACTGAAAGTCTAAATTTGACTCAAAATACTTTGCAAAGAGGACCGTGGTTTCTCAGGATAAAAATAGTAATCAGCTTCTAGCAGTTGAAAACACATTTGGTCCTTGTTGTATGGCATTTCCACTTCATGACACTTAAATCTGCACAGCTGAAGCAGTTCAAGATGCTGTCATAGACTGCGATGGCTAGAATGTAGAGGTACACTGACCAGTGGGTGCACCTTACTCCTACACAGCACTGTACAGAAGCTTGTGGTCTCCACCTACATAGCAGATAACACGAAATAGATTTCCATTGATGAAGTTATTTAGAGCTAATTCACTAGAATAAGGAGTAAGCATATTTCCAAGAAGCAGTGGTGTGTGGCTTGAGACAGTACTAAATTTATCCTGTGCTTCACTTGCTTCACTTCTATGCATACCGAGTAAATCACAGAACTCAATATTCAAGTTCTCCCTGGTGCTTGCACAGTATACCCTTGCAACATCTTTCTGCTCCCCACTTAGAGTTGAGACATGTTTTTGGGGCTTAAGACTAAGCTCTCAACTGACTTGGTGCATTTTCTGTGGCTGCTGCCAACATCACCTTGGTTGAGCATCAGGTTTCAAGACAACAACAAGAAAAGCCAAACTAGCACTGTCCTACTCTCCTTGCCAGTACAGGATAACACTACCAGTACTTAAAGAGGATCTGGGATTATTTTTTGAGGGAAGCCATGGAGTCAAAAAGTTACAACTAGGCATGCCCAAAATATAAGCTAAGCTTCTGTCATCCAGAATGTGTAAGAATGGTTGAAAAGTCTACTTTATGTCCTTAATCTCCTTTGTCATCATCCCATTTCTATGCACGTGTGTGTGTTTGGAGGAGGCAGGGAGAAAGTCAGTGATTCTCAGGACCTATCCTGCCATTTCCAACATTTTTCTACTTACCTCCTCTTCCATGTGCACATATTTAAGACAGCAATACCAGTAGGTGCCAGCAGTCATCACCATCCCATGCAGCTATGTGACACTCCCTACTGCTGTTATCCTCCGTTCTTTATTAATACTGTAACCAGGTCAAAAGAAGCCAAGAGTGAGACCCACAAGTGTAGAAGAAAGGTAGAAATCATTTCCTCATGTCCATACCTAGCTCCTGTTGTCTGTTTCAAGCTTGACAGAGTAAGAATGGAAAAACAGAAGGAAGAACTAATGGGGTGAAGAAGGCAGAAGGTAACTGGCACTGGCCAACTCTGTGATATTTAGGATAAAATAAATTTCCTGATAACTGCATTAAGACCCATTTTTGTGCTTCTAGATTGATGTGAAAACTGAAATGAGTGGAATGTGAGTACTGACCTGGGGAACTGGAGCTGCGAATTTTGAGCAAGGTGGGGAAAATGGGTGGGTTGATACGGAGGGTCTGGAGTAAGTCCACTTTAGGAAAATCGTGTAACTGAAGGATATGGAGAAGACACTTCAGGAGCAGGTATTTCCAAAGGACACTCACTATCTCAGTAGCTTTCATTGCAGCTTTAGAGACAGATTCGGGTATTTTTTAATCTCACTTTCCTTCCCAGCCATAAATTGCCATTTCAAAGGAGTTCTCTCTTCACCACCCTTTTTTTTTTTTTTTTTTCCTGTAAGAAGCATAGCAGCCTTAAGCTGTTAGCAGTGTTGCCTTGTCTTGGAACAGTAAAAATACTGAACAATAAGAACAAGCTTACTACTACAAGAGTCCCTGCTCAAAGATAATCCAGACCAGGAACTAGGAATTCATTGCCAGAAGAATTACTAGTTGGTATGTTATTAACGGTGCTATATTTCAAACTGGAAACAACTCTCCCAGTGTCTCACATAATTAATTTTTTAGTCTCCTAATCATCTATACATATGTCAAACATTTTGAAAATCAGAACCTGTAATTGAGATGAGGAGGTAACATAATCTGCCCTCACCAAGATGATTAGTGTGGCCCACTGTCTGGGAGTCATTCTGAGACTGGTTTGCATACCAGACACTTTCTTTCAGGCTGGTAGTAGCGGCCATCTCACAAGAGCCTGACTCCTCTTCAGTGGCCACAGAAATGCTTGACAGTGAACAGTACAGTCTTCATGCAACTAAAATATAAAGGAGAGACTTATTGTTTCTGTCCTGACTGTTGAGATAGCCTAAAACCACGATTTTCTCTATACTGAGTAAAACTTGGAATTTTAGAAGTGTGTTATTAAGTTCAGAAACTGAGGGTAAAAAAAAACAACTATTACACACTTGTCAGCAATCAAAATAAAGTACACCGATTTGAGTAATCCTCTACTGTAAAACTATAAGTTAGTGATTGTGTGTCATTGGCCACAATGCTCAATTTTTTCACTATCATCTAACAGCTGCCCCATTCTTCTAATCATGATGAAGAATACTGAGCAAAGCCTCAAAGAAGGCAGTTGCACAGTGGTCTCCAAATGATCACCAGAAGTGCCCTGCAGAGAAGCAACTCCAAAACACTTCCTTAAACAGAAACATCCTTTCTTTCCTTTTCATGAAGTGCTACCTCACTTCCTATGCAAACTTCTTTCCAGCTCCCCCTTCCCTTCTATTCCTTCCCTCTTAAGCACTCAACCACTTCTCTGTGCTCAACTGCACTCAGGCACACTCATCACAGTTCCCGTTCTTATTCAGAAGTCCATATCTCCCCTGCAATGCTCAGCTTTTAAGGCTGTTCACTCTGGCAGGGTTCTTAGGTTTGTAATTGCTCTACTTACTTGAATTTACCTGTAAAGCCATTTCCACTGCTATCTGGTTTTGCTTTTGCCGTTCAATTCATTAACCACATACTTTTGCAACTGTTTTTGGCAAGCCTGTCACTGTTCTGTGTGCAGACAGCAAGCACCATGCTTGTTAATGAGAGAGCAAACTATAGGCTCTGCCTCCCAGTTCACAGGTGAGGATGGTAAGTGCTGAGAAAAGTGAACCCTTAGACTGGCATACTTAATGAACAAGACTGTTTCTAACATGGTGAGGAGGGAATAACTAGCACACAGAGTCATAGAATCACTGAACGGCTTGGGTTGGAAAGGACCTTGAAGGTGACCCAATCCCAACTCCCTGCTACGGGTAGAGCCGCCATCCACTGGATCAGGCTTCCCAGGGCCCCATCCAATCTGGCCTTAAACATCTCCAGGACTGGGCATCTAGAGCTTCTCTGGGCAGCCTGTTCCAGTGCCTCACCACCCTATAAGGAAAATAATTTATTCCTAATATCTAATCTTTTAGTTTAAAACTCTCCCCCTTGTCTTACGACTATCAGACCCCATAAAAAGTTGGTCTCCCTCCTGTTTATAAGCTCTCCTCAAGTACTCTAAGGCCACAGTGAGGTCTCCCTGCAGCCTTCTCCAAGCTAAACAAGCACAGGTCCCTCACCTTTCTTCACAGGAAAAGTGCTCCAACCCCCTCATTATTCTTGCAGTCCTTCTCTGGACCCATTCAAGAATCTCTGCATCCTTTCTGTACTGGGGCCCCAGTCTTGGACACAGTACTCCAGATGGGGCCTCACGAGGGCTAAGTAGAGGGGACAATCATCTCCCTCACCCTGTTGGTCACCTCTTTTTTGATGCAGCCCAGGATAACATCAGCCTTTCAGGCTGCAAGTGCAGAGTGCTGGCTCACATTCAGCTTTTTATCCATTCAAGGCTGCCTTCTTACGCAACTCCCTTTTATAACTACTTGAATTTACTTGAGTATGTTCCTCGCCTAGCCTCCCCTCTCATCAAGGACACCAAAGGAGGTTAAGCGTTGTGGTGACAGCAAGGCACCATGATGCCAGGCTCATTGCACAGGACTTGAACAAGCATCACCAGGTGAGCTACTGAACACCTACGACACAAAGCTACCAGTCTCCTGTCAGGTTTCATCATAGTATGTGCGAGTCAGGAACGTTGCTCCAACATGCCCAGCAATCCCATTACGAGAGTGCATTTTGCACTACTACTAATCAGTTTCTTTGATGGGGGCTGAGCCACTTTCCTCTAGAGCTTCGCGCTCCACTTCTCCCATCCGCCAGCCTTCAGCACCGGCGGCTTCGAACTCACCGGCGGCTTCGAACTCACCGGCGGCTTAGTGCATTCCCCGCCCCGCCCCGTGGGTGGAGGAGCCGGGCTCACCCTGGCCCGCTGCCCACCGCGGCACCGCCGCCGCTCCCGCTGCGCCGCAACCGTCAGCTGCCCGCCTCTCGCTCCGGGCGGCAGGGAGCGCCTTCTCCGTGCCGTGGGCGGCGGCCCCACCCCTCACGTCGGCGTCGGGAGGCCGGGGCGGAAGCTGCTCGGCTGTGCGGCGACGGGCGGAAGTAGCCATGGTGGCGGCGGTGGGCATGGGGCAGCAGTGGATCCTGGTGGAGATGGTGCAGGCCTTCTACGAGGTGTGTCGCGTCTGCGGGGTGGTGGCAGCTCTGCGGGGTGGTGGCAGCTCTGCGGGGTGGTGGCAAGCCGCTGCCCGAAGAAGTCGCGGCGGGAACACGGTGGCGGGTCCGAGGCACGGCCGAACCGACTGAGGTCTTTCGCGGCCTTGGCCCTGGTGGTCGGGATTTCCTGGGACAGACGACTAAAAGCGGGGTTCCAATTGGCCGGGTCACAAGAAGGAAGCGGCCGCGAGCTAGCGCGGAGCCTTGCCGGCGGCTCTAGCAGCGCCTTGCGCCTTCTGCTTCTGTCAAGGTGCCAGGCTGAAACAGATATATGGTGTTTTAAAGATGCAGAAAAAAGGTGCGCTCTGGAATGAGTGTAGTGAGTGGGCTTAGGTGAGCGTTTGACTCGCCTCCGCTTAGAAACAGGCGCTTTTTTTTTTTTTTTTTTTTTTTTTTTTTTTCCAAACGGTGTTTTAAGATGCTGACAAGTAGCATCTTCTCCTCACCCTGTTGTTTATGGCTTTTCTTTGATGTAGATCAGCAAGGCTGTCTGGAAAGAGTTGCTTATTTGTTTTCCTTCTTTTGCAAAACTAAGCTGGTGGTAAGGAAATAGCAGTCTCAGTTGGGAAGTCTGGTTTATTGAATAGTTCATTCACGAAAGTTAGATGTTTGGGTAAACTTTATTTTCAGTCAAATGTGAACAGATAATGTAAGTTTGGATTAAAGCTCTGTCTTAAAGCTGCATGGCATTGTTGGTAATGCTTGGGCAAAATCCTAAGGGCTGGCTCAAAATGCGATCTCAAGATCTGGCACTCAAGGAAATATCATCTTTCTACTGTGTTTGCGCTTTGAGTCTTTTAAAAATAGTAGGCCATCTACTGTATAGACTGTGGCCTTGCTGAAATGAATTAACTGAACCTGTCCTTTAAACAACTTGTCAAATAATTTTTCCATAACTCCACAAAGACCTTAAATTGCTTCTGCTACTGGACACAATTGAATTTCCTTCTTCTAAGCATCCAAAATCGCAGAGAACAAAACTTCTTTTGAGTATTGTTAGGTTATAACACCTATTCAAAGTGCCTCTGAATGTAAGCAAAAATGTGTCCTGTGGACCAGATTAGATCTCTTTTTGTAAATACTAGCTAGTGTTTCTGCTGGTAGGCTTTATGAGCATCTAGGGTTGAAGTTGGTGTGTATAGACGACATAGACCTGGAAGCTCTGTCTGTGGTTGTAAAAACTTTCTGCTCTCATAGACACCGATGTGACCCACAGGGCTTATCTGTAGTTCCTTTAGTCATTATATTCAATATTCAATTAATGTGTGATTATAGCTAAAACTGCTTAGCAATGTAGTCTGAACATTGTTCATTAGCAGTAGGACGAGTCCATTCATACTCAACGGCTAAATTTGGTAGTTGTGAAGTGGTGCATTTTTATAAAATCCTAAGTTTTGTTGGAAACACATATCAGCTTTTGATCAGTTTTTGACTTCCTGAGAATGTAACTGGTGGAGACAAAACTGTCGGAAAGTATCAAACTAGTTCAAATAGAATTATGTTTAGTTCTTGTGCTTTATTATGCTTTTTTGCTTCATTTTCAGGCTCCTGCATACCATCTTATTTTGGAAGGAATTCTAATTCTATGGATAATCAGGCTTATTTTTTCCAAGACATACAAGCTTCAAGAGCGATCTGATCTAACACCTAAGGTATAGTGTAAAAATATTTTTCTTTATGGAAACAGTTGATAAACATTGATGTGTTTGACTGTTGAACCACTGATGTAAACCAGCAAATTACGTTAGCTTTTCTTAGGATTTCAAGGGATAAAATTCTGAGTAAGGAATTGCTTGAACTCTTCAGTTTGTGCTTTTAAAGTAAGCATGGTATATTATTAAAAATGTTAAAAAACAATGTAACAAAATTAATGTAACCATGAAAGACTAATGATCCAGTAAAAAGTGACTTCAGTCTAGGGCAGTGAGTCTCTGAAACAGGTTGCCCGGAGAAGCTCTGACAAACAGGAATTAGTACAATTTGTTTTACGGATATCTCTGGGCTGCATACAATAAGTTCTTCCTGTGATACTTCTCATGAGACTTATAAGAAATTTCTTGAACTCGAGAGGTAAAAAGGAGTGTTAATTCTAGCAATAAAAATTGTAAAAAATTACATTGCATGGACACTGGATACATTAATTCTCAATTGCAGGGCACAGAAGAATAAAAATGCTAAGAGCTGCATTATAGCAAAGGGTATGATTTGAGATATTAATTATTAACACCTCCAGTTTTTTTTACCTGTATCTGGTATTTCCTGGATGGTCTGCTCTAGATGTTTCTGCTTGATCAGGGAGCTTGGACCTGATTACCTTCTGAAGTTCTTTCCAGCCTTAACTGTTCTTGATGGATAGCATAGTCTCAGGAAATGCTTTCTGGTGATATACTGAGATTATGTGACAGTTGATAAAGGAAATTTAAATTGGTCTGATCTGTGAAAATTGAAGGAATGTTTTCAATATAAACAGCTGTATTTGGAAGGAAATGTCTTGTAAAATAATGCTTATATGCCCTAACTAATGTACAGTGCTTGCATTATAATAACAATAAATATGCAATATGCAAAACAATTCTGTAATTATTTGAAAGTAAGCATAAATACAGCAGTGAAGCAAAAATGTGAATAAGCCTTCTACAGCTGGAGGAGTACTTAAGCAGATTGAAACATCAAAGATGTGCTGGGATTCTGTTACTTTTCTGTAAGGTAGGTGATGTGAAAAAGCTCTTTTGCATGTGAAATGGCTGTAGGTGGGGAAGAAAATCTTAATCCTCACTAATAATCCTCAGATAGCTTACACTGATCTGCTTACTGCAGTATGGGATGCTACACAAGCAGGTTTTGGTCTGTTGAGCTACAAGTAGTAACATGCCAGCAAGGAGATGCTGCTTATTTGCTCTCTCCTTTGTTTAATTGATGCTGTGGTGCCCAGTCTCTGCCACACCAGGAAGAGTGACTGGGTTGTTTATATGCAAGCAGTGGAGATATGTCAGCTCACACAGCAGAGCTCAGGCTACCCTTATGTCAGCCAGTTACATAATGATAGTTGATGTTTCTCAGTGACTTGCTGTTGGGGTTTCTGCCAGAAAAGAGCTGATTTCATATGATAAATATTACCAAAGAGTACCACTATTGCACAGCCATATGGCATGATCTGTCAGGACCAGTCCGACCTGGGAAACCAGAAGTAGATTATATGTTGTGCAATCTAGTGAATTTACAAGTCACACTTCTAAAACAATGAAGAAATCCACCCAAACGTGTTTTCTGGGTTTAGTCAAATGTGTAGCAATAGTACAGTGAAACCTAGGGAATTAGCTTTCAGGCTGACTGTTATCATTCATAACATTGCTTGCAGGTATTGCTATTGGTTCAATTAAAAAAAAAAAAATGAAGCTCTTGAATAATTAACTAATAAACTGAAGTACTTTCTCTGACTGTAACGTCTTGATAGTTTGGGATTTCAGGAGCTACAAATAAATCTAGGGCTAGATAGAATACTAGACATGCAGATTCTCGTGGGCTTTTTATTTGAAGTAAAATCTACTGAAAAGGAGCAAAGGGCCAGTGAGGATTGGTGTGTGTTGCCAAAGATTGCATTCCATCATTTAGCTACAGATTCACTCCCATCCAACAATTTGTGCAAAAGGAAGTAACCTTGTGGATCGGACAGTCTGTCACTGTGCAGTAAATAGTACTGAGCTTTTCTCAATCTGTGAAACCTTACTGGGAGTCTTATACTTGTGTATACAAGAAAAAATTGTGGGTTTTTTTTTTTTTTAATTTTGGAATGTTCATTATGGTAGTAGTATAATGAATTTAATTAGTGTAGTATTCACAGGGAGGCTAGAAAGTTCTTTTCAGAGAAGAATGTTCAATTCATGGCCAGGAAATAATGTTGGCCATGAGAGCTGTCTCTTACACATGTAATGTTCAAGTATTGGTCAGGATCAGAAGGTATTCTAAGAGAAAAGCAGATGTAGTTCCTTCCTGTGAGTTTCCAGTTCTTTCAGGCCAAGATTCCACTATAGCTAAAGACATTTACCAGTTGATGGCATAATTCTGTAAATACCAATAACTTAAAGCGCTATTATTTGAGGACTGATATGACTGAAAATAAAAAAAGGTATTATTAATCTTTACATATTGACACAGTTGTACGCTTTACACTGTTTCAAAACACTTGCGCTAGCAAAGACATGTTTCATAAAGATAATTGCTTCATACTAGCGAGGGAGATGATTATGCCCTTATGTTCTGTCCTTGTGTGACCCCATCTGGACTACTGCGTTCAGGCCTGGGACCCCGCACAAGAAAGATGTAAAGTTGTTTGAGTGGGTCCGGAGGATGGCCACAAAGATGACTAGAGGGCTCTTGTGAAGCAAGATTGAGGCAGCTGGGCTTCTTCAGATTGGAGAAGAGAAGGCTCTGAGGAGACTTCATTGTGGCCTTAGAGTAGCTGAAGGGGGACAACCGAAAGAACAGACTCTTTACTGGAGTGTATGGTGACAGGACAAGGAAGAATGGTTTTAAACCAGAAGAGAGGAGGGGTTATATATTAGTAAGAAGTTTTTTTCCTGGGAGTGTGGTGAGGTACAGGCTGCCCAGAGAAGGTATGGATGCCTAATCCCGGGAGATGGTCAGGGCCATTTTGGATGAGGCCCTGAGCAGCTTGATCTGGTGGGTGAGAGCCCTGCCCATGGCAGAGATGTTGAAACCAGGTGGTCTTCAATAAGCTTTTCAGCCTCGTGCATTCCGTGATTCTATGATTTTGTAAAAATCAGGGTAAAAAGAACAACAACTTGTTTAAATATTTTGGATTGGATGTGTTTACATCAAAGTATTTCTCTTAACAAGGCGCATGGTTTTAAATATTAAAACCCATCACCAATTAAAAAAAAAATGTGTACGTATGTTTAGATATATAAAAATGTTTATACAGATTTTACCTACTTGTGTAAATATTCTACTTTGTTTTATGAAACAAAACATTTGTATTTCCACATAGGATATTCATAAACAAAAGTTTGATGTTAAAATATAAACATAAAATGTACGTGCCTATATAAATTAAAAAGAATTAGGGAAAGAACTGAGACATGAGTTTACTTATGTTGTGGCCTGAGAGAGAGGAAATTAGAAGTTTTTTTTTTCCATCAAGTAGCTATTTTAAAGTACAGTGAAGTGAAGAAAAATAAGTGAATCAAGTATATATTGAGAATGTTACAATGTTAAAGTCTGGTTTCTCTGTGTAGTTGAGAATAAATACTTTTATTTTTGATGTTGGTCTGAAATTAGGCAAGTATTTAGAAGGTGCTAAGTAGAAGTTCTCATAGTGAGGGTCACTGTATGAAAGCCTCTTTCAGCTATGGATGGATATCAGATGGATCATCTTCTGCTTATTCTGGAAAATCTGGTGTATTGAGGTATTTGCTGAATTCAAGGAGGAAGGAGTATGGGCTGGCTTATGTGCACTGTGGATCTTTTTTTTTACATTGATACTGTAAGCAGTGTGTTCAGCTGGCAAGGAGGGTGATTCTTCTCTACTCAAGAGACCTGGATAACTGTTTTCAGCTCTGGAACAATCAGCATGGCATGAACCTGTTGGAACAAGTCCAGATGACCAGAAGAGCTGGAGCACCTCTGCTGTGAGGACAGGCTAAGAAAATTGAGGCTATTTGGCCTTAGAGGAGGCTCTGAGGAGACCTCACAGTGGCTTACCAATACCTAAAAGGAAATAAGAAAGCTGTGGAGGAAGACTGTGGTGGAATGTGGTGACGGGACAAGGAAAACAGTTTTAAATTAAAAGAGCAGAGATTTAGAATAGGTAGAAGGAAGAAATTTGTTACTGTGAGAGTGATGATACACTGTGCAGAGAAGCTGTGGATGCCCCATCCCTGGAAGTATTAAAGGCCAAACTAGATGGGGCTTTTGGGCAACTGTGTCCCTGCCTGTAGCAGAGGGGTTGAAACTGGAAGAGTTTAAGATCTCTTCCAATTCAGACTATCCAGTGATTTATTTCATGTAGGAAAAAAAGGCGGGACCGTATCTTGTCAGTGGTTCGTGGCCTGTGATGCAGTTCCTGCATACTGCAGACCTTTCAAGTGGAAGGTGGGAAACTCCTACCGATTCAGTATGAGTAACAGGGAGAAAATTACTAACTCCAAATTGCTCGTTATGTTTACAGATGTCAATTTCACTTGCACTGTGTTAATTTAGTGTAGTTTCTTTCTGTAAATATGGTTTTCTTCTATAAATACAGTTTTTTACCTGCTACACTCCTTTTCAAAAAGATTTTCATTCAATTGACGTTTCAATTGTTGAGCCTCTGGGTGTTTTTTTTTTGTATCCTTAAAAAAAAAATAAATCCAGATTTAAAAAAAAAAAAAAAAAGCAAAATACTTACTTACATGGTTTTGATTCTGCCTACTTTGAAAAAGAAAAAGATACTTCATCCTCTGCCTTTAAGCTTCACTGTATGAAAGTCATAAAGATGTTTTTTGAAATTAAATGTTAACCAGCTCTACAAAAAATGCACCACACTTTGTAAGTTCTTCTCCAGTAGGCAGTGGAACTCATATACTGCTCTTCTCTTTTGTCTATCGGTAACTGACGGGCTGCAGCATTTCTCATCTACATTAGGCTTATTTCTGAAAATAATTTAAAAAGTAGTGTAAAAGAGATGCAGAACTGTTGGTGCTGGCTACACTGTGTCTCTGGGTTTTGAGGTGAGGCCTTTATCACCAGCTACATTGGAGCAAACTGCGGTCTGCGTGGGCAGATATCCTGTTTTCTGATCTGTAGAAGTTTTTCTGAAGCATTATGGGAAGGTATGGAGTACTGCTGGACATCTTTCATTCAGGATTTGGTTTTGTAGTTAGTCAGTCTAGGTTGGGACTGCTTTATTGTGGCCTTTAGCTTAGCTGCATGTCCGTGTTGCTTTTGCTGGATTTGTTTTCAGCAGGACTAGGGGAAATGGTTTTAAGTTGAAGGAGGGAAGATTTAGGTTGGATGTTAGGGGGAAGTTCTTTACTAGGAGAGTGGTTAGGCCCTGGAACGGGCTGCCCAGGGAGGTTGTGGATGCCCCGTCCTTGGACGTGTTTAAGGCCAGGTTGGACGGGGTCCTGGGCAACCTGATCTGAATGTGTATGTTTGGTGGCCCTGCTAGGCAGGGGGGTTGGAACTACATGATCCTTGGGGTCCCTTCCAACCCGGGTGATTCTGTGATTCTGTGTGGATCATTTTTCAGAAGGAGGTTATTGTCTGTTTCATGACTGCCTGTGCTAACAAAAGGAATGGAAAAGTATTTGTATCTTAGAGAGGACTGTACCATAACAGCTATTGGTTTACAGTGCTGTGGATCAACACCCATAGTATGAAATTAGATCTTTCATAATAGCTGTTTAAATAGCTATGTGGTACAGAGTTGCACATGAATCACAGAGTCATAGAATGTCTTGGTATGAAAAGGACCACAACGATCATCTAGTTTCAAATCCCCTGCTATGTGCAGGGTCGCCAACCACCAGACCAGGCTGCCCAGAGCCACATCCAGCCTGGCTTTAAATGCCTTCAGGGATGGGGCATCCACGGCCTCCTTGGGCAACCTGTTCCAGTGTGTCACCACCCTCTGAGTGAAAAACGTCCTCCTAATATCTAACCTAGACCTCCCCTGTCTCAGTTTAAAACCATTCTCCCTTGTCCTGTCACTATCAACTTGTGTAAATAGTCATTCCCATTTTGTTTATGTGCTCTCTTTGGGTACTGGAAGGCCACAATGAAGTCTCCTCCAAGCTAAACAAGCTCAGTTTCCTCAATCTTTCTTCTTTGGAGAGATGTTCCAGCTCTCTGATCATCTTAGTGGCCCTCATCTGGACCTACTCTAAGAGCTCCACATCTTTCCTGTACTTGCGTCCCCAGGCCTGGACGCAGTACTCCAGGTGGGGCCTCACAAGACCTGAGTAGAGGTGGACAATCACCTCCCTCTCCCTGCTAGCCACCGTTTCTTAATGCAGCCCAGAATACAGTTGGCCTTCTGGGCTGCAAGCGCACACTGCTGGCTCATGTCCAGCTTCTTATCTGCCAGGACCCCCAAGTCTTTCTCTTCAGGGCTGCTCTCAAAGAAGTCTTCCTCCAGCTTGTATAAATACCTTGACCCAAAATCAGAATACCATTGTTTGTTTTGGATCAGTTTAGCAAACAGAGTTAGGTTTCTTGTTTCACGCTGAGAGTAACCTGAATTCAGGTAGTACTTTTTTCACCATTTTGGTGTTATTGATGTTATATGCATCAATCTTTATAGGATGCTTTGTCTAGTAATCTGCCATCTGAAGTTATTTGCTGAACCTTGTTGAACGTGAGATTTACTGTGCAGTAATAAGTAGTAGTATATGGATTAGCATTTCAATGCATGTACAACTATGTGCAGAGCTCCAGTGATCTCTTCTGCAATTGCTGAAGAAACTAAGAACCTTTTCTTACATGAATATGGCCATTTCAAAATAATGGATAAATTGAATTGTGTATTGTGTTATCTGTTATGTGTAATGGCATTTTATTTCCTTTAAAGCATATGTCCCTTGGGTGAAATTAGAGTTTAAAAAAAAAAAATCTTAACATGAAAAAAATAAAATGAAACGGTATTTAAACTACTACATCAGCAAAATATTAGAAATACAGATAACTATGTCCACATAAAAAGTGAATCTTTTATTTGTCTTTTGAAATAGACCTTTGCAGAGTTCTTGGGATACTAATTTATACACTTATTAATGCTAATTTATATTCCAGAAATACTTAGAAACAAGATTATTCATTAGCTTAATAAAAAGAAACTGCTGAAAGTGCGCAAAAGTAAACACTATTCTGGCATGTAGTTTCCCTTTGATTTTAATTTGTTCTTATACATTGAAGGTTTGAAAGGAAGTATTTAATAAAAACAACAACAACATTTCCAAGTTATTTTAAAAAACTGACTACAATTCTTTTATTCAGGTATTAAAATAAGTACCTTTAAACATTCTATGGAAATGTAACAGCTTTGTTGTCAAAAGTTAGTTAACAACGCTTACCTTATACTAGTAAATAATCCTCTTTTAGAATTCTTCTTGGCTGCTATAAAGAATGGTTTTGGTGGTTTTCCTTAGCAGTTGCTGATTTATGTGGAACTGGTCTAACACAGCTGCCTTGCTGGTCCACCACAAATCTTTCAGAGATTCATTTAACTGATATTTTCTTGTATAGAGTGCTTTGAAGATAAATATGCATTGGGTATTCTTCCATGATGAGATGGAGGGATATGTGGTTTAGTTTTGTTGCTGTTGCCTCTGCTATGTCTTAAGTGTTTGGCAGTTTATATTTTCTGGTGTGTCTTGATCATATTTGTGTTACTTTGCTCAGTATTTTAATGCCAGAGTTCTTTGAAAAGCACAGTTGAAGACTTGAGAATGTGGAGTGTGGCAATTTATGTTCAATTGTTGTATGATTTGTGTTAAATTACATAGTGTAGAAGATGATTTTGATAATTAGAAGTAGACTAAATTAAATATTGATTGAATTTGTCAGGGACACCAAATTTGTATCTCTGTTCTTAATTATCATATCATGAGATTTTTAATGCACCATCACAGTGTGTTTTTTACACATTCTTCCCTTTGAAGAACTCAGAGATTATTGGTTGACCATATAGTGATATTACCAACCATGTGTCTCAGAAAGGTTATATGTAGTAGGGTATGTAATTTACTGCATAACTATTAACAACTGTCCATTTGAGTACAAGGACTTTTGTAGTGGAAATCCATTTTGAGCAATTTTCTTTTCTGTTCTTCAGGAAAAAGAAGAGTTGATTGAAGAATGGCAGCCGGAGCCTCTTGTTCCTCCTGTATCAAAAGATCACCCAGCTCTCAACTACAACATTGTTTCAGGGTAAGTCTAACCAAGGTAATTCCTGTTTTTTACTTTAATTAAAATATTTTGTATCCACATTTTAAGCATATTAATAGCAAACTATTTCCATATCCCTAAAATCATTTATAAATTAATTGCATTTTTAGAGGACAGAACTGAATTTGCCACTGAAGAGAAAGTCCTATTTTTGGAACCTTATCAAGATCCTTATTGAAATAATCTTTACCTCTTTGAATGTTTTTAATTTAGGGTTTTAGTTTGTTTTGTTTTTAATATTGAATGGATACTTTTGTCTTTGTCTTCATTCTGGTCTGTTTTTTTATGGTAATTTGGTTTTAATTTTTTTTAATATTAGCATGTTGTGTACTAACTTCGAGTAAGAGGTTAGGGGATTCTGTGATCCTGTGAGGGGAATGTGTGCAATCAGAAGACACTGCAGGAGAAACTGATTTTTTGCCTAGCTAATTGGCACTTCATGAAAAATTATTCTTGAAATAATCAATTTGGACCATCAGAATGCTTGCTGTGAAATTTGTTTTGAATGTACTGCCAGTCTCAACTGCTTTGCACGAGTCCAGGCAGATGATATCGAATGCTCTTCTGTTATCCACCAACACTATAATCCTGTTGTAGAAGGTCACCAAATTAATTAGGATTTGCCATTAGTGAAACTATGTTGGTTGTCACTTCTCTATTCTCTGTTTAACTTAGCCTTGTTTCCAGGAGTATCTCTTCCATGGTCTGCTGGGTAGAAAGGTGAGACTGACTGACCTGTAGTTTCCTGGGTCTTCCGTTTTAATAGTGATGGTGAAGTTTCCCCTTTCCCATTCACTGAGAACTTCACTGGGTTGCCACAGCTTCTCAAATGTGGTTGATCAAGTGGTATCCATCTCTTTACAGTTCACTTGGGACCCTTGGATGTGTGTGTTAGGCTGCACCTGTACATACTCAGATTTCTCAGGTGGTCTCAAATCTCATCACATCCTTTCTTGAATGACTGACTCTTCATTCTCCCTGTCTTTGCTTTTGCCATCTGTGGCTTGGATGATAGTTCTCAATTTTGTTATTTGTCAACACATAGAGAAATAGACAGATGTAAGGTTTTGTAATTGGCTTAGCTATGAGTTTCAGCACTGAGTGATTAGTTGAAGCTCTTGAGGTTATAGTATTGAAGTGTATATTTGCTGAAACAAGATTGCTTTTAGAATACAGAACGTACTTACATTTAAAGCAGAAATACCTGTTTTTTCTTTAATTGCAATAATCTTTTATCTAAACCGTAACTTTTAGTGCAGATTTTATTTCTGTTTTCTGCTTATTATGTTGTTGTTCATTTGTTAATACTGCATGTTTTCATGGTTTTTGTATTTCCTGATTACACGGTTTATTTAAACAATTATGGTTTAAAGAGAGTTGGAAACTCAATTAAACAGAATACTTATGTTTGTTTACAGTTAGCACAAGGCAGTAGAGGTTGGTATTATGGATTGCTTTATGATAAAAACATAGGTTTTCTAGAAATATTCATGGCCTGTCTGAATGCCTATATGTGCAGCCTGCTGTAGGGAGCCTGCTCTGCAGGGGGGTTGGACTCAGTGTCATCTCTAGAGGTCCCTTCCAGCCTCTGCAATTCTGTGATTCTGTGAAGTTTTAAGTACATTTTTATTGTGCAAGTAAGTACCAATACAATTTCATTTTTATTCTTAGTACTCTTCCAAACAGATATAACTTTTAAGCTAAGGAGAAGCATTTATCCCTGCAAGAGTCGTCTTTGTATGAATTAAGTTTTCAGCAAAGAATCATGAAACTAAATAGGGAGATATTTAATAATACTTTATGAAATACAGGAGTAATGATTTTTCTGAGTTTAGCCTTAATATTAAACTTAAACATCAATTGCCAGTTAAAGAATAATGGAAATGAGGAGTATTTAGAACACTTTGTTAATAGGAAAAATGAAACTTGTGTGCTGTTGAATTGTTTATGAAAATCATAAATTTTCATTCATAACAATAGATCTCTATTAATTTTTTCCAGTCCTCCTACCCATAAAATCATTGTTAATGGCAAAGAATGTATTAACTTTGCATCATTCAATTTTCTTGGACTTCTGGATAATGAGAAAGTTAAGGTGAGTTCCAGTTACTTTACAGTGTGACAGTAGGAGCTGTGCTGGTGTGCTTCCTTGAAATTGAAAATTACTTCAGAAAGCACAAACTTTGCCAAGGGAATATGCTTCTAAAGCAGTAAATCTTATAATTTTGTGCTACTTGTCTTTTAACTGAAGTTTTATCTGATAAACATACTTGGAGCTAGCCAACCATTAGATTAGTATGTAATATTCTTGGTCAGTAGAATTAAAAAAAAAAGTCAACATGAACTCTGTAGAAGAATTAGTTACCAATTGCTGGGATAAATATTTCACATAATTTGTTTTATGTTAAAGAGTGCGGCTCAAGCGTCTTTGAAGAAGTACGGTGTTGGTACTTGCGGACCTAGAGGATTCTATGGTACTTTTGGTTAGTAATCTTTTTCTGATTTACCTTTAATGTTTTTAAGACTGGGGTGGTAAGCTAACTAAGTTAGTTCTGTGTGTAAGAAACTAATCATTTCAATTACTGTGAAGAAATGAAGTTATCCTTTAAAACAGTTTTTACTGTAATTGGTAAGGATTGATAGCTAGCAATTTTGTTCCATTCTTTTTTTATACCTTTTCGTAATCTTTCTTACTTTCTAATGCTGGTGTTGGTGGAAAGTTTAAAAAAACAAAAATAACAAAACAACCACAACAACAAAAACAAAAAGAAAAACACCAGAAATTTACCAATCCTGGTGAATTTCATAACTTAGAAACATGTTTCTAAATAGACCACAAGAGGGCAACCTGATTTCTGTTTTCAATGGTAAATATTACTAATTTTATCTAAGTTTATCTAATGCTGTAGTCATAATTAAGTTTTTCTTCACTGATTACTTTATAGTTGTAATTTAGAAATTTTATCATGTGAGAGGGTGTTCCTGAGGGTTTTCTTAATTCTGGTTAGGAAAAAGCAAGTTCTTAGTCTCTGGAAGTAGTTATTTACAGGCATTGATACTGAAATACTGCTTGGAAACCAGAGAGTAATAAATGAATAACTGTACAGTTGGATGCTAAAAGCATCAACTCATTATCTTGTGAACTTTTTTGTCTTGTCAGAGGTATTGGAATTCATGGCGTGTTTGTACTCAAGTGATTTTTGTATCTTCGTTTAGCCTTGGCTTTAATTCTAGACTATTTAAAACTTTTTCAGGCTAGTCTTTTGAGTGATTGAACTGTTGCTCTACCTACTTTTTAAAAATGTCTATTTATCAGAATGAAGCTGAGTATTTGACAGCTGTCTTAAGAGACTTTCTGTTAATCTGTAGCTGTGATTCATTCCTTAAAAAAATAAAAGGGATAGCAGTCTGTTACTTGTGAGCTTTTATGAAGCTGCATTCCCTCAGTGACCATAGTTCCACATGGATTTGTTAAAATTCAAACAAGGTTTAAAATACACTGGAAAGCTCAAAGAAACTTACGGACTCTTTTTCTGTTGTAAGTCCAGGTTGACATTAAGTGTTGTGAAATCCTGATTTTAGTGCTTCTTTGAAGTAATTTTTTAGAGCAGAATGTAGCTAAAGTACATTTTCTTTGGTAAATGAGAGATTTTCTGGTTTGTTCCCTGTCTCCTTTACAGGTGTAATCCTAAGTTCCAAACTGTTTAGCTTTTGTCTTTAATTTGACTACTGTTAATTGGTTCCTTTTTATGAGTAATAAATACTCCATTTCACGAAACAGGAGGTGTAATCTATGATATTGCTGCATGACATCACCAGTGAAGTGATCTTAAACTGAACTTTTTGAGATATCACTTTTCACAGGAGAAGTAATGGAGAAGTGCTTATAGTTTCCTCCTGCTACTATATTGTATTTAATTGATGATTGTCACTCAAAATTATCCCCTTTATAAGTGCTGATATTTCATGTTAATATTAGAGGACTTTCTGTTCTTCTCTCTGCCTGTTTATTGGGATTTTGTAGATTCAATGAGTTCCTATTAAGAGATTGTACATCTCAGAAGTGCATTCCTGTCTTTAGCCTTGAAATGTTTGTGTCTTCACACAAAACTGAATCTGTACAGTAATGTTCTCTCTATTACAGGTGTGACGTGTGTCTGTGCTTTTGAGGGTGGTTTTTGGTTTAGTACTTCTGGGATTTTTATTAGGCTGTTGGTTGGCTAACATTTCAATACACTTCAGAAAGATGAAGACCAAAACAGGCTACCAAATAAAATGCATGAAAGTAGATGTGGGGTTTTGGTCTCAGTTATTCTGCTCTTGACTTGCATATGAGCACATGCTGAACAGTAAATTGGTACTTCGCAGCTCTTTTTTACAGCATTAGCTTAATTAAGGTTTTATATGTACGCAGAAAGATGTTAACAGTCATATCTTTGTGCAAATATAATCTATGTAGTGTTCTCAGTTAAGGTAGATTAATGCAAGTGATGTAACCAAATGAAGGCATATAATAGCAGTGAAGAATAGAAAATCAAGTAATATTCTGTTTTTATCTTAGTAGAATGGTAGTAAAAACAGAGCTGTAGACTTTTCAACCTTGCAGTTATATAAAGCGTTCATTTCATTAAGTGACGATGTATCAATTTTGTGTATGCTATGTCTTGTTCTGACCTGTGCTTTTTGTCTTCAGTACAACTAACGTTCTATCCACGGTAGAATATGATAGATTTATAAAAATTTTGATCTTAACATGGAAATGGTTATATTCACCATCTGGTTATAGCTGACGTACTTCTTTTCGCCTACTGTTCATATCACGTGTTCCCTCAGTGTAGTGTTTGCTGTTGCTGACTAAAGTTCAGTGACAAATGTGCAAGCTTTTTATTTTTTAATTGTGATGACCTCTTTATCTCTGCCAATTTATTAGTTAGAGAATGTAGTGGTCTTTTATACTCAAACAAAGCATTTTTTCTCCTTTAGATATTAATAGCTGAGCTCTCAAAGCAATATTTTTGTTCTTGTTTCCTCTAATTTTTAATTATGAATTTAGAAAAGCCAAGGCACAGATGGAACTTAACCTGGCAAAGAGAGTAAAAAAGAGCAAGGGATTCTGTAGGTGCATTAGTCAGAAGAGAAAGAACAAGAAGAATGTATTCTTTCTGATAAATGAGAAAACTGACAACAAAAGACATCATGGAGAATGCTGAGCTACTCAACAAGTTGTCTCAGTCTTAGCTGATGATCAGGCTTCCCACATCTCTCACATCCCTGAATCACTGGGTGGGGGCTGTGGGAACAAAATCCCTCCTAAGTAAGAGCAAAGCAACTCTGAGACCACCTGATGAGACTGAATGTATACAAATATATGGGGCTTCAGCAGTCCTGAGAAGAAAGGAGTGTTGATTGATAAAAGATTCAACATGAGCCAGAAGTGTGCACTTGCAGCCCAGAAGACCAACTGGGTCTGGATTGCATCAAGGGAAGTGTGACCAGCGAGGGAGGTGACTTGCCCCGCTGCTCTGCTCTCGTGAACACCTACCTGGAGTACTGCATCCAGTTCTGGGACCCACAGCACAAGAAGGACATGGAGTTGTTGGAGCATGTCCACAGGAGGGCCATGAAGATGATCAGGGAGCACCTGGGCTGGTGCTTTTCAGCCTGGAGAAGAAAAGGCTCTGAGGAGATCTTGTAGAGGCCTTCCAGTACCTGAAGAGGCCTACAGGAAAGCTCAGCAGGGGCTTTTTATAAGGGCAGGTAGTGACAGAATGAGGGGAAATATCTTTAAACTGGAAAAGGGTAGATTTTGTCTAGATGAAAGGAAGAAATTCTTTACTGTGAGAGTGGTGAGACATTACAACAGATTACTCAGTGAAGTTCTGAATGCTCCCTCCCTTGATGCATTCGAGGCCAGGCTAGGTGGAACTTTTAGCAAACTGGTCTAGAGGGAGGTGTCCCTGCTTGAGCAGGTGGAATTGGAGCTAGATGACTTTAAAGGTTCTTTCCAACCCAAACCATTCTTTGATTCTATGACATACATCCCAGGGACCTGAAAGAACTGGCTAATGTAGTTGCCAAGCCACTCTCCATCATATTTAAAAGGTCATGGTTGTCAGATGAAATCCCCGATGACTGGAAAAAGGGAAATATCACTCTAATTTTCAAAAAAGATAGAAATAAGACCTGGAAAACTACAGGCCAGTGAGAAGTGCCTGAGAAGGTCATGGAACAGATCCTGCTTTTGTTGAAGTATATGCAAGATGAGAAGATGATGTGAGGCAGACAACAGGTCTTCACCAAGGGAAGATTATGCCTGACCAATCTGGTTGCCTTCTGTGACAGTGACTTGTCAGTGGACAAAGGAAGAGCAAAGGATGCCATCTACCTGAACTTCCGCCAGGCTTTTGAGGTTGTCACACGCAGCAACCTTATCTTTAAGTTGGAAAGATGTGGATTTGAAAGGATGGCTGTTCCATAGGTAATTAATATATTTGTTGACCACAGCTAGGCAGTAGTGATCAACAACTCTATGTTCTGATGGAGGCTGGTGATGATGTAAAATTGTTCTTGACAACTGGGAGACTGTGAGAATAGGTAAGCTGAAAGCGACCTTCAAAGATACCGTGTCCAGCTACCTGAGCCCTTCAGGGCTAACCAAAAGGTAAAAGATACTAATGAGGGCATTGTGCAAATTCTTCTTGAATGGGGCATCAACCACCTCCCTGAAAAGCCTGATCCAATGTTTGACCACTTTCAGAGTAAAGACATTTTTCATAGTGTCCAGTCTGAACCATCTCTGATGCATCTGTGCTGTTTCTTTACATCTTGTCATTGGTTCCCAGGGAGAAGACGTCAGCATATCCCCAGCTTCCTCTCTGCAAGAAGTTGCAGGGAGTGGGGAGGATGCCTCAGAGTATCCACTTCTCAGACTGGGCAGCCCTGGTGTTCTCAGCCTTTCCTCATGGTCCATGCCTTCCAGCCCTTTTACCAGCTTTGGTGCCTTCCTTCAGGAACATACGAGTGTCATAACATCATTTTTTTTTTTGTGGAGCTTAGAATTACAAATAATATTCAAAGTGAAGTTGCACTGACATGGACTGTAGTGAGATAATCACCTCTTCTGATCATGTGGCTGTGCTGTCTGTAATGCATTGTGGTTAGGCTTCTTAGCTACTGAGGCACTCTGCTGGCTCTTGAACCTGCTGCCACCAGCACTCCACATCTCTTTGAAGACATTCTAAGGATCTCTGTTTGCCCCTACAACTTGTGTTTTTTTCACTTGATGATTCTCTGAATAATATTTTGTAGAAGAGTCTTGCACTGACAATGTTTTTGAATGATTAAAATAATCATTTATCACACAAAGAGGTTATTTTGCTTAGGCACAGTACCTAATGCTTTGGTTCACCTTTTTACCTCTGGCTGGTTCTAATGCAACAATTTATTCACTTGTGTTGTATTGTTCATGGCATTTCATTTCTAACACAGACCATTCTCGCTGAATTGGTTTGGAAAATGCATGTGTGTATAGTTGTTCAAATTTATTTTGAGGATCTGTGGCATAGAGAAGGCCACCTTTTGAATTAGCTGTATTGCATTCAGGAGGTAATATGTGATTGCACATAGTCTGAGAAGGGCAGTTTTCTGTTGTAATGATAGCTGTATTATATGCAGTGGAAACATTAGCTTGGAGGAACTGTCAGCCTGCTAGCAAGACTGAATTAATTACTATAAATTAGGTTGCTATTTATTTTCTGCTGAAGTAATTATGTTCCCTAGTCACTGACCAGGAACCCTGCCTCATTTACTTGTGATCTAATCAAAAGCAGATCTTAATTACCATTGTGTAAGAGTATGAGAGAATCACATTGCTTAAATATTTTTCTAATCTTTCGAAGTTTTGGTTTAATATTGGTTTACTTCTCGTTTTAAGCAAGGTTTTATTAATTGCAGGTAGGTTTGGTGTGTATTTGTTTGTTTGTTTTGAGAAGTTACTTTTTGTAAAACTTTTCCTACAAATGAACAGTAATTTAGTTTAATTCAATTAGGTCATTTCTAAAAGCAAGGAGTTAGTCTTTCTGATATGAAAGCAGCTAAGCTGCCTTAGGACTTTTTATTTTTTCACTCTAATAGACGTGCACTTAGAATTAGAAGACCGGCTAGCAAAATTCATGAGGACAGAAGAAGCTATTATATACTCATATGGATTTGCAACAATTGCCAGTGCAATTCCTGCGTATTCTAAACGAGGGGACATCGTGTTTGTGTAAGTATTGTTTTCTCTCTGGAGAATTACAGATTCAGGAGTTTTTCTTCTGATGTCTCGCTTTTATTATTGTAAATCAAATTAAACCATTTGTTTAGAAAATGATGCCATTTTGGATCAAGTATTTAGTTGTAGAAAGTTTAGATACTCCTTTGCCAAATATTTCAAATCAAATCAGTCACTGCTTTGTTTGAGGGGAAAGACTTGAGCAGTCTTGAGCACTCAGCTTAACAACAACAATGCATCCAAACAAACTGAAAAAGACATAGACTTGTGTATGCAAGGATTAAGTATGATATCTAGCTTTTTCCCTAGAAAATGTGTAGTTGTATTTGATTTTCTCCTACTTCCTGCTGACATTTTTTCCTTTCCTATGTGGCGGTTGTTCCTCTCATACATATCTGCAAGGAATTGCTTGGGTAAAGATCACTGTAAACAGAACATCTAAAAAGGATCAAACTAAAGATTCAGCAAGCACAGTATATGGCCCTAGGAGTAACTAGTCATAATTACTACAGGGACAAATAAAGAAATAATAGCAATACTCAGAATTTCCTGAGGCAAAGAGGAGGGCTTGGATTCTTTAGAAGTTGGTGGATTTTCTTTATCTTACAATTTTTTTTTTTTTTGTACCTAAGAATCTAATAGTCAGAATACTCCTATGGATGTGTAATTTCACAGTTTAACTTGAACTTTCTATGAATAAATATCTTTAAGTGTTACACTTACTGATTAAAATTGATGCATTTGATTTTTAGAGAATGAACTGATGCTATTTCTTACTTAGTTGTGCAAAAAAGCACAACTTCTGAATCAGTTGAGTTGTTTGTATGTTTTTTGAGATAAATGACCAGTACTGGATATTGTATTCAAGGTGTCACTGTATCCAGGAGTTAGGTTTCAACTATTTCAACTTCTCTGTGACAAAAGATCTTCTCACTTTACTTTAAAGTACCTTGTTTGAAATTACTGCAGTTAGCACGTGCAAAAAGTTTGACTTAGTTGCCACCTTAAAAGGTTGCTGGACTTGCTTACCTACCTATGAGAGTGCATACCACATTATACCCAGAAGTTTGCTTTTCCAGGTCTTAGAAATGGTGGGTAATTCTTTGATCACCAAGGCAGCAATACCTAAGGGATATTAAAAAGAAAGTTTGAGATTATCGGAGGACCCGATCACTGCAATTTTATGCAGGCACATCTTTGTAACAGAACAAATGGAGTGAGAGCTTCTGGGATGACTACCAGGGTATTATACCTGGTCCATGAAATATGGTGCTGCTATGAATTGCTGTCACAAAAGGACCAGTGTACACTTAAAGAAAAGAGAAGGTGCTTGTAGTATAGGGAAGCTAAGAAACTTTGGAATGGTTTTTTCTAAGTGTAAATAAAATGTATTATGCCTTAACAACTCTGCTTTTAACTACCTGTAAATACAGGTATCTGCTCAAAAGTAGTATAGTCCTAGCAGTTGCTTTTCTACTTTGAATTGACGTTAAACTAAGTGTAAACTTAGAAGGGCTTCCTGTATTTGCAGAGATGAAGCTGCATGCTTTGCTATTCAAAAGGGATTACAGGCATCTCGGAGTAATATCAAATTATTTAAGCATAATGATATGACAGACCTTGAACGACTGTTGAAGGAGCAAGAGACTGAAGATCAAAAGGTACAATCCTTACAAAAATATCTTAGTTTTTATGTCTCTTCTGTCCCTTTTAGTGCTTTTAAACTGGATTCTATAATTGAATGGGCCCGATACTTACAGGTTTTTTTTGTAAATCTGTATTGAGCAATTAATGTTGCATGTTTAATTAAGATTGACTTTACTTATTACATTAATTACTGTTGTGCCTGGCAGTGAATTCACAGGCATTGATGGTAGAGGAATATCTCTACGGGTCTATGACTGGTGTATGTTGATTTGGGTTTTTTTGCAGAGCTTGCGTTTTTTGATCTAAAAATTTGTGTAACTGTCTTCAATTTATAAATCATGTGAGTTAATTAACAGTTTGAATGCCACACCACAAAATCAACTCAGAAGTGGCTAGTCCTAACCCTCAAATTTACATCAGCAACGTGATTTTTCTTTTTTCTTTTTCTTTTTTTTTTTTTTTTTTTTTTACCTCTCTTAGACACCTCTCTTGTCTTGCACTCAATTCTTAAGATGTTCTGCCTTCAAAAATAAGGGTCAGTTCGATGGTTTACTCCTCATTCTGACAAATACAAGAGGGCATCCAAAAACAGCAACTAAAACCAGGGCCAGCAAGCACAAATACTCTGCTAATATGAGTTGTAAAATGCTTAGGTGAAGAGGTTACTTGAAAAGGCAACATTATCTTCCTTTCCTTTTCATTACTTTCTTTTCTTACCAACCAATTTTCAGAGCTTCACTTGTTACTAATTGTTGAAATTAACTGAAACCATTTGTTTCTTAAGAATCCTCGCAAAGCCCGTGTAACTCGAAGGTTCATTGTGGTGGAAGGGTTGTATATGAATACAGGAGACATTTGCCCTCTTCCAGAATTGGTAAGAGGTTTTGAATTGCCTTTTAAAGTAGATATTTCTACAAAAGTATAAATTTTTACATGCAGTCTGTGGTATTTATGAGATTTAATGGTAAAAACAATTTTAAATTTTAAAACATTTTTTTAAATACCTTTAATGAATAAACACTACTGACATTTAGAGCTGACATTTCTGCAGTATTCCGAATATTGTAGTTGTCTGTCTTAACAATGTCACCCTTCACCCACTTTATGACTAAATTTTAATGGTTGTTACTTGTATTTTATATAATTTGCACTATTTTAGATAAAATTGAAGTATAAATACAAAGTTAGAATATTTTTGGAAGAGAGCCTTTCTTTTGGAGTCCTTGGAGAACATGGAAGAGGAATCACTGAACACTTTGGAATAAATGTAAGTGCCATATTTTTTGCCTTTTTTGTTGTGAACAAGAGATTTGTGCAAAAACAATTTACAGAACTAGTTTCTTATGCCTGTGATATCTGAAATACTTACTAGTCTCAGGTCTCTGCATTTTTATTTCACCTGCTTACTTGAAATCTTTTTTTTTTCCTAATACTTGTGAGAAGTATTGTAAAAAATTTTTACAGTTTCACAATTTTATTCTCATTTTGAATGCTCAGTGAGATAATGATTGCAGTGTTTTCCTGCCCCATATGCTTCAAAATACCATGCTTACGCAGAAATATCTGAATCTTAGGGGTGTGTCAGAAAATTTTCTCTGTTTATAGCCAGCCCATGTTGTTCTATTGCCTTTTTCTCCAGCAGGGACGAAGTAGGAAAACTTTTCTTGGTTCTCTTATTGCTTATATCTTCGTTCTAATATGTGATAACATGATGCGTCTTCTCCAGTATTCATGAAAATATTAAGAAGATAAATATCTTATATACTGCTTTGATGTAATTAAAGGCATCTCTTAATAACTTGTTAATTTAACTTGCAGATTGATGATATAGACCTCATTAGTGCAAACATGGAAAATTCACTGGCTTCTATTGGAGGATTTTGCTGTGGAAGATCGTTTATAATTGACCATCAGGTAAGTCTTTTTTTTTGTTTTAACATGATATGGGAAGATGAGTTACACAAACATTAGTAACTGGTATCAATTTGCCAGGAGTAATATGATATGCAACATTTGATTCAGTTTAGAAACCTACTAGTTTTGAGAAACATTGCGTATGAGTTGAAAATCGGTTTTTCAATACTTCCATTAGCCTAGTGATGTGGAGAACAGGTTTAAATATGTGCAAATGAAGGTACTGTCAATATTGCTATAATAAAAAGGTGTATTTTTTTCTCCATAGCGATTGTCTGGTCAAGGCTATTGCTTTTCTGCATCCCTGCCTCCTTTGTTAGCTGCTGCTGCTATTGAGGCTCTGAACATTATGGAAGACAATCCAGGTACTTAATTCTGAAGAAAAATCCCTTAAGAAAAATCGTATTCTTGAGTCGTTTTTTAACCCAAAACAACTACTACTCAGTTTAATTCCTCACCCGTTTACTCTTTTACATCTTCTCTCCTTTACAGCTGTTTAATTTTACGTGTGTAAGTTTTTCACTCAGAGGTGGTGGAGCACTGGAAGAGTTTGCCCAAAGAGGTGGTGGATGCACCATCCCCGGATGCGTTCAAGGCCAAGCTGGGTGTGGCTCTGGGCAGCCTGGTCTAGTGGTTGGCAACCCTGCACACAGCAGGAGGGTTGAAATTAGATATCTTTCAGGGTCCTTTTTAACCCAAACCATGATTCTATGAAGTTTTAGTTTACATAATCTTACATTATGCCTTTTCTTTTAACATCTTTAATGTTTCCTTTCTTTGTCACTTGTATTTAGAAAGGAAAGAGATGATAGTTATTAATCACCAAATAAGCAATTTTTCTACTTTGTAGACTTGTAAGAGATTTCTTCCTTGAAAATAAATACCTTTAAGACAAATAGAGGAAGATAAAGTTATAGAAGTAGGGATGTATTTCTTCATACTGAACAACCCATTCCTTTCCTGTTGGCACTCCTGAATTTTTTTCTCCTCTAAATGAGCATCCAAACAGGTGTATTCTGTCATCCTGATGGAAATATATCTGTGATTCTGGCAGCACCAAGTAGAGGACACTTTAATAAGGCAAGTTAGGCAAGAGTTTTGGCTCTAAGAATCAGAGAATTGCTTTTGTTCCTGGAATCTAAGAATGAATTTTTTTTTGGTGTGAGAAACATGTATAATAAGGACAAAATTGTCCAAGTTTTGTATTTGTTTTTAATATTCATTAGCATAAGCAGGTTGGAAGAAACCTGGAGACAAATGTAGTATTTAATTTGTCACAAATAAAAAGCAGTGGGTTTGTGTATTCCATACCTGGTCTTCAGAAATTAAATGAAAATAGGAGAAAAGAAAGATCCATCAGTCAAAATTTCCTATTTAAGAATCTGCAGTGAGTGGGTGAGAGGATCAAGGTGCAGAGCCTGCATAACTGTAGACATTTTATAGATAAGTTTGTAAATAAGTTAAATCTGCAATTTCAACCTCTTTTATCAAGCGTTTGTAACATCTTTTTCCTATGATCATGAACCACCTGGATTTTGTCAGCTCTGTAATTTCCTTGCAGAAATGGGAATCAGGAGCATTTTGAAGAATAGTGAAGGGAGTTACATCTTCTATTTACATTTATCTAAATATACATATATAAAATATCTCTTAGATTTTCCTATTTTTTAATCATAGATTTACAAAAATTTAAGGTAGAAACAGGAGATATAAGCTCTTTTTTTTTTTTGTCTAGACATTTTTCAGACTCTTCGGGCTAAATGCAAGCGAATTCACAGTGCTTTACAGGGGTAAGTGATTCCAAGTTTTTAAAACCTGTTGAAATGACATTATGCCTTATTTCTAGAAGGGATGTTTATAAGCCCTTGGACAATTCAGTCTTTAGAAGAGTGTTACAGCTCATAATAGTGCAAAGCATATTGAAAAGATTGCTTAAATAAAATCATTTTGTGTGCTAGTAGCTTGAGTTCTAGCTTAGCAGGTAAGCTTTCAGATGTCTCAAAGAGTCTTGCAATCAACTTTTATACCGTATTGTTCTTCTGTATGAAACCTGAATCTTAAACAGCAATAAAATATTGATTATTCTGGAGACATACAGCAAACTGCTAGAATTAATTGAAAAATAAAGTTTCTGTTTCAAGTTCTGTAACCATTTTAGGGGATGACTGTTTGACTAATAGCTTTTTTTTGATTGATTTTATTAATAAAAATATATGCATTGAATAGTTTCAAGAATTATCAATTATAAATTATATTTATTATTTTAGAATTAATTTTCTTCTTCAGTTTTCTGTTGTGCTTTACAGGAAATGAAGAAAATTTTACATGCAGGAAATCTGTGGTGTGTTTATAATTATTCTGCCTGGTTTTAATTATTTTAATATTGGCCATTTTTTCTGTATGAATTACTTGGTATTTTAAATAAGCATCTGTATTCTGATAGCGGTCTCCTGCTTCACCCTATGTTTTATGCTAGAGCATTGTGCTCAAATTCTTTGGAGTAGTCTTGGTCTTCTTTTGCTGTGATCTATTTCAAATTTGTTTGAAATACTATTGTTTTTACGTCAAAAACACCTGGACACTGTTATGCTTGAAATATTTTGCACTCACTTTAGAACTATGTGTGTCTCCTTTCTACTAGTAGAATGTTGTGACTAAGCAAAAAGGAAAATAACTGTAATATTTTCTCTATGCTGTCATTTTGAAGTGGCAATTGTAAGTATGTTTAAGTACAGGAAGAATTTGTCAACCTTTTATTCATCAATATCCAGTGCAAAACAGTAGCCTTTAGGACATGGCTGACCTTTTAAAATCCTGCGGTTGGTTCTACCTTACTTAATCAATTAAATTCTTTATACGGTTAATGTAGTCACAAATTAATACATATCCAAATTGCTTAAGTGTCCCCTAATAGGAGTTGTGAATTATGAAAAATACAGTGGTAATAGAGAAGTCCAAAAAAAAAAAGCAAAACAGCAAGGGAAGAAGTTGCTTCTTGGTCATTCTGAGAAAGAACTTGGAGGACTTAACAGTACAAGGCAATTGGGCAAAGCTTTAGCTGATTAAAAAGTTCATTACACAGTGTTGGAGGAAAGACTTGAGCTAATATCTACAGGATCATGTGTTTGTTTTTTTAATCAATAAAAATACTAGAAAAAGTCTGCAATGGTTCAGAGGGATGGCAAAGTTTTGAGAGAGGTTCTTTGTGTTTACTGTAATACTGTTGCATTAAATACTTTCATCTTCCTTGCCTGACGATGGCTACTGCTCAACTGCAACTCTTCATTATATTCTTGTGACAGGTGAACTACTGGTTTAAGAGAGAGCATAGAGGAAAAGTAGAATTGTACGTAAATAATGTGAAAAGGAACACACAGCTCTTCTCCTTTCTTCATGTACAGTAAATACAGTGACAGTAACAAATTAAAACCAACCTCTTTTTAGCCAGTGTAACTAACCTATAGAATCTAGGATTACATGTATAAGAACCAATTTGAGATTAGTGGTCTAAAAAGGTGTTTGTATATGGACAATGGGAGGAAAAAAATCATTAATGTTGTATGATAAGCGAATCACGCAAATCACTGGCTTTGCTTCCTTCAGGTAGAAACTAAGTGCATATCTATGGAAGAAATAGAAGAATTCTTCTGAAACCCTTATAGAATTACTTTCTTATTATCTGGGGTGGTTTACGTACCATAAAAGAACAGTAACAGATGGAATACCTGTCACAAAAAATCCTACCTTCATAAATAATCTTAGATAATGTAAATTTCTGTCTTGTATTTTAAAACGTCTAGTATCTTAATAAATATATGAAGAAGCTCTCTTGCAGGAATACAGGATGCAATAGGAACAGAAGTTTTGCCTGTTCCAGATGCCTGACAGTATTAGATAGTATCCTTTAAATAGTTCATTACTTACGACTTATCCTGCTGAGATTTTTTTCAATAAAGTTTTCATTGAGGTAAAGCAGATTTATTTCTAAAGTTTTCCCCTCCTGGCGAAACTTGATGGTTTCTCACTGAGACCTCATCCTAGTTTTCTGTTCAGAACACTGGCTGTGATTAACATCCTTTTCTATGACTATCCTTTCATGCAGATTTCCCTACAATTAAGAGCTTATTCTTATCATTCAGTTCTCCAGTTTGGCCTGATAACTAACACAAAGAGCCTAGTATACCTTTTGGGCTTGGTGAGGTTACATGCATACTAGCACATTAATGGCAGGAGACATCCCTGGTCACTGGAGCATGCTTGCCTTCTGTTTCATTGTTAGAATGGTCTGTGGCATGGATTTGGCCCAAGCTGAGCAACACACTTGAAATTAACTCCTGGATACAGTTCAGGAATTAGCTAGTCAGGAAGCATTCCTAGTAGACAGATAGATGTGGCCACCCTGAGTTGGAGACTCGAATTTTTAAAACTATGGATGTGGGTCATTCCATATTTGTTGGCCTTAAGACCAGCATCATCTAGTCCAACCGTCCACTTACCGCCAACATTTCCTCTCTAAAACATGTCCTTTAATAAAGTATCTGCTCTATTTTCCAATACTTGAAAGGTGATTACAGCAAGAGCAGGGCTGATCTCTTCTCACTGATGACAGGTGACAGGACGAGGGGAAATGGCCTCAAGTTGTGTCAGGTGTAGGTTGTATATCAGGAAAAATTTATTTACAGAAAGAGTTGTTAAGCACTGGAATGGGCTCCCCAGGGAAGTGATTGAGTCACCATGACTGAATGTGTTTAAAAACAGTTTGGATGTGATGCTCAGGGACATGATTTAGCAGAGGGTTGTTAGAGTTAGGGTAGTATGGTTATATTGTGGTTGGACTTGATGATCTTGAGGGTCTTTTCCACCCTGAGGAATTCTATGATTCTATCTAAATGTTTCTTGAATACCTCTAGGAATAGTGCCTCAACCACCTCTGTTGGCAGCTCATTCCAGTGCTTGAGCACTCTTTTGGAGAAAAATTTTTTCCTAATATCCTACCTGAACCTTCCCAGACACAGCTTGAGGCCATTCCCTCTCATCACTAGTTAAATGGGTGAAGAGGCCAACCCCCACCTCACTGCAAGTTCCTTTCAGGGAGTTGTACAGTGCAATGAGGTCTCCCCTGAGCCTCCTCTTCTCCAGACTGAACAATCCCAGTTCCCTCAGCCACTCCTCATAAGAATTGTGCTCCAGACCCCACACCGGCCTTGTTGCCTTTCTCTGGACATGCTCTAGTACGGAGGGACGATCACCTTCCTGCTCCTGCTGGACCTCACTATTTCTGGCATAACCCAGGATGCCATTGATCTTCTTGGCTATCTGAACACACTGTTAGCTCATGTTTAGCTGAGTATTGACCAACATTCCCAGGTCTATTTCTTCCACATAACCTTCCAGACACTCTGCCCCAATATTATAGTGCTACAAGGGGCTGTTGTGGCCAAAGTATAGGACCTGACATTTGGTCTTGTTGAATTTCATCCTGTTAGCCTCAGTCCAGTGATTCTGGTTGTCCAGATCCCTCTGTGCAGAGTCTTGCTACTCCTAGGCAGATCAGTGCTTCCTTCCAACTTGATGTCTTGTGCAAACTTACTGAGGGTACACTCAATCCCCTCATCCAGATCATCAGTGAAGATATTAAACAGAACAGGCCTCAGTGTTGACTCCTGAAGAATACCATTTGTGATCAGAGTTATATACGTCAGGACTGTAGCAACCAAATTCGAAGGTGCTGATTAACAGCTGTCTTCAGCTACAGACATGAGAGCAATTCTGTTAGAATTACTAGTGTTTAGATGAGCTTCTGATTAAGTAGCAGAAGGTGCTCTAAAGATTTCCTATAGGAAATCAGTAAAAATCAAAAATTTTGCCAAAAGTAAAGCTTATTTCATATCATCACATAAGCAGGTAAAAGGCTTATCATTATTTATTTTCTGAACTATGACTCTGAAGACTCAAGTTTGCTAGCTGTGTTTTCATTAGTAAAATAGGAACATACTCCTAACATTTTTCTTTATCTTTGGAGGATCCTTCTACAATTTTTTAGTCTTTTGCAAAAGTTATTAGTTAGAACTAAGTGATCTAGAAGTAAACTAGTTAACTAGTAAACTAGAAGTTAACTAGTCAGAACTAGTTATTGTTTCACAAATTTGCTAAAACTACATTTAGTTAACTGCAAGAACGGTGCTGTCTTGTTTTGTTATTTTTGCCTACTGTGAACTGAAGTGTACATGTTTGGCCTGCATTATTATAATGAATAGTATAGATATAGATAAAAATATAATAGATATGGAGAAAAGTGGAATTCATCTAAAACAGCTAGGGAAAAGTAATAGAATGCATCAGAAAAAAAGTGCTTCAGTACTGTAATTTGAATAATTGTACTCAGGCTTTTGTCAGTATTTTCAGGAATGCATAGCTTCTGTGAAGATTATTAAGAGCAAATATGTCCCTGTACGTATTGATTTTTATGCTGTAAATGCTAGCATGGAAAACTATTAATGAACAGCTATTTTTAATGTTAAAAAAAATTAATATTTTCTATGAAACATCCTTCTCACTTCCTAATCTGGAAAGGGGAAACACTTACTCTCTAGAACTTTAACACTTATGTACTAGTGTGTGGGGTTTTTTTTTGTTTTTTTTTTTAGGATTTCCGGCTTAAGAGTAGTGGGAGAATCGTTTTCTCCAGCATTGCACCTAAGGTTGGAAGGCAGTTACGGATCTCGAGAAAATGATGTGAAGTTGCTCAAGAGAATTGTGGATTATGTAAGTGTCCCTTTAACAGTTAAAATATATCATTGCTTTTCAATGTGGTAGTGAATGAAATTCAAATGCATGGAGTGACTTGTGGGTAATTTGTTGAGTATCCTGTTGGAGTGTCTTGCAGGAATGCTGCAAGAAATCTGCTTCTTCACTGAGTCCAGGGCTACTAAAAACCATCTTTTACCAATTTTTTGTTGCGCATGTTTAGTTTTGTAACATTTGACAAAAATACATATTTCTTGTTTATACTTTAGAATATGGTGTTATCCTGTTGTGTACTTCAAAACTCAAGTTTAGAACAATTGTTTAGGAAACTTCTATGATGTTCAAAGGAAGCTAGGCTATTGTCTGAACAGAGTTCAGTTGGTGTATTTTAACTATTACATACTTAGCTTTCAGTAGTTTTGCATATTTGTGGCAATTAACTTTTTTGTGTGTGAAGAGAATCCCATGTTTTGAATATAGTATCTTTTTTTTCTATCTGTACATTGGCTTACTTCCTCTATTGTAAAATAGATGGAAAGTGATGGGGATATTTTAGATTTCAGGTGGCAGATACACAAGACTAAACCACAGACAAAAACTAGATTATCCTTGAAAATACTCTGAAATTTGTTTGAACGGCCTAATGAACATAGCATTTTTGTCTAATTATTTGGCGAGGAAAGCTGAAGAAGCTACATCTAACTTCCCCAATTTTATCTTTTATTAAAATTAAATACTCTTTCTTGCACAACCATCAAAACTTCCATTTAGGGAAGAGTTATCGTGACACAGTAGTAGTGAAGTAAGTTATATGCATTCGATGATCTAAATGATATACCTTTAGAAATTGCCGAACTCTGTTTTTATCTAAACGATCAACCTTGTGTTTTGTTTTCTTTGGTTTCTCTCTGTGCTTTCATCCGTAGTGCGAAAATCGTGGTATTGCATTAACTCAGGCCCGCTACCTGGAGAAGGAAGAAAAATGTCTTCCTTCACCCAGGTAAGTAGAAAATCAATATATTATTTCATTTTATGGGATATGACTGTATGTATGTTTTCATGCAGCAGAATTTTGAGAAAAGATTCTGATGCACTGAAGTAACAACTATATCTGAACTACCTGAACCCTAACAATCAGCATGGCACAGTCTTTGCCTGTTTACCAGGCATGTTTCATTGAGCTGTGCGTGTGCAGAAACAGAAAAATTTCTCTCCACTTGTATATATGGAGAACAGGGTGAAAATATTCTGACCATTTCTACATTTGCTCGTGTGTGTTGTGTCTGGTTGAATTTGAATTACTACCTAGAGCTAGTAATTTTAATGTTAGTACAGGAAAAACCTAAAACTGAAGACAAGGATTATATGTGCATATGTTGTGATTTTCTTTTTCTAGTATTCGAGTAGTGGTAACAGTGGAACAAACAGAACAAGAACTGGACAAAGCTGCATCACTTATTAAGGAAGCTGCAGAGTCTGTACTGAATTAACCCACAGTTTTGGATTCCTTTTTCCTCAAATTATAAATGTTTTACACTGTATAGTGAACTCCACTTCAGATATTAAAGCTTATCCACCATAGACATTAAAGCCTATCTAATGAGATTGTTTCAGGATAGTAAAAATACAGTGATGTATAGAATCCTGAATTTTGAAAATGGTGAATGACGCAATGTACTTAAAATTCAAAATCTACAAAACATTCCTAAGAATGGAATATCACTGTTGCATGCAGGTCTTTTTCACAGGTTTCATCTTATAAAGCCTTAAATTAATTTCTTCAACCCCCTAAATGTTACCACATACATGGAGAGAGAGAGAGAAGACGAAAATATGTATACATATGTATATAATTCATTTTTTTCTTAATAAGCGTCTAAAACGTGTATCTCAGAATGTAGGAAGTTCACTTGCTTTCAGAATGAAATACTAATGAAATACTAATACTAATAGTACCTTAAGAGAGAAATAACGCATTAAGAGATAATTTTGTGCTGTATTGCGTCATTTATAGTGGGAACTTCAATTCTTACTTGTTTATATCTTTTTAACCATTTCTGAAAGCAGTTTCTCAGAATGCCTAGTCAGATGATTGCTATCAAAATGTAAATTAATGTTTAACACTGTTTGCATACTGCATTTCATATGTAAATATGCATATTTGATTTTATGGGTGAGATTTTTCTTATCAACTTAAACACCTAATCTGAAACCTCCAAATTTTGAGAGTATTGCAGTATCACTATAGTGTGTTCAGTCAGGGGTCTTTTGCACCACCAGTTTTGAAGAGGAGGCATAAACAATGTGAAGAACTAAAGTTTTGAAATGGCAAATGAATATAAGCTTTTTCAAACAGCTTTGAAGCACTAAAATGTGTGTATTAAGTTATAGCTCTGAACAGCTGCTATGTATTAGAGTAATTAATTAGTAATATTTGGAGTTTTATGCTCTTGCAATTTGCAGTAGTCACAGATGGATAGAAACATAACACCAATCTGAAGAAATTGGTAAGGATGAATGACAGTAAGCCATAGCTTTTAATAAAATAAAAATGTATTTCTGCATATTTTTAACAATACCAGTTCAAAAAACGTTGTGTTCTACCTGATCTGTATTCGAGTTGTTTTATACTTATTTTTGTTTTTGGTTGCTGCTACAAGGACTACAGTACTATTTTTGAGAAAGATCACTGTTTAAATAAACATTTTATTCAAATTTATATATATTATGTACTTAGTCATGTACTTAGTAGCATGATTCAGCCATATTTTGTAGAATATTCTGCATCAGATGAGCGTAGTCTGTGTTGTCTCCTTCAGTTCTTAATGACTCCATCTTTGCTGTGATTTTCCAAAACTTCTGAACTTTGTCTTTTTAGATAAAACCTGCTGAAGTTACTCTTGAGCACATTTGTTACTGATACTGCCAGTACTAGCAATACTCAAATAGTTTTTTGTGTACAGCAGACACTTCATCACAATGTACAAAAGTATTCATATTACATTTACATTTACATTATTCTGTCTTCACTTTGACTAAAATCCTGTGACAAGCCAACTATGTTAAAAAGCAAAAATGTGAGGATGGAAGCTGATTCCTGTTTTGTGGACTAGAACTGACATGCCTTTTCAAGAGCAATCAGCCTTCTCAGATTCTTAAGAGATTCTGAGAGATGGAAATAAGAACTATCCGGTAGGCATTGAGCTTGTGACCCATTTTTGGTTTGATAATACAAAACTGATTTTTCAAATAAAATCAAGCTTTTTGGCTGAGAACAAATGAAGGGGTTGGATTCCATTGCAGCATTATTGTTTTGGAGTTCAAGGTAAATCTATGAAGCTAGACAAGTAGCGTTAATATAGAAGGTTGTAGAATCCATACTGACTCCTTCCATTTTAAATCGTCCTGAAATAGAGGGTTTTTGTTGTTGTTGCACTCTTGAGAACTAGCAACAAGCTTTAAATCTGTGGCAGATTTGTTTTGTTTTCTGTTGTTTTTTTGTTTTGTTTTCAAGTAAAGTGATGAATTCGCAGGAAGTTGAGCAGGACTTCTGTCAACTTCAAAACTTTGCTCAAGACACCAAAGTTCAAATATGTTGTTAAGAGCTGTTATCATTAATCCACTTAGCAAACACATATCCAGCATTAAAAGATTGATAAATCTGCTTTTATCATTTTTTTGCTTCAGTAACTGTTTAGGAAATCTGCACTTGGATGACACTAAAGTGAATTTCTTCTGTTTTTAGCAATTCAATTATTGTTACTAATGTGTTTTCTGCTTAGAGGTTTTAATTTATCTTTGAGAAATTCTCAAAGAGAAATTAAAACGCTTAAGCAACATACCTGGTGGGAGAGAGATCCCTTGTTCCTACCCCTTATAGTTCTTACAGAGAGAGTGGTGAGGTGCTGGAACAGCTGCCCAGAGAGGTTGTGGATGCCCCATCACTGGAGGTGTTCAAGGCCAGGTTGGACGGGGCCCTGGGCAACCTGGTCTACTATTAAATGGGGAGGTTGGTGGCCCTGCCTGTGGTGGGGATTTGGAGATTTGTGATCCTTGAGGTCCCTTCCAACCCGGGCCATTCGGTGATTCTGTGATTGTCAGTTTGACCATGTCTGGTCCTTTTCATTTTCTCTCTTCTGATAAATGTCTCTGTTTTACATGGAAAGCAGGTGAAGAAAAAACAGTGACTAGGGGAAAATGTTCAGGTTGGGAAGATAGCAGGTGGTAAACTTTTGACATTAGAAAATCAGACTTGGAAGTCTATTAAGGTGCTTAAATCCTTAGTGCTCTTTGCTGATAAATGTATGGACAAGCCTGTTTTAATTGTTTTGTGGCTTTGTTTGGATGACATGGGGCACTTTCACTAACTTCTTCAGATGCTGGAGTGAGATTGGGGTCTTAGTACACAACAGGAAAGATATTTAGGATCAACAGCATACAGGCTCATATCCAGAACTGTGGCAATGAGGCACGGACTCAGACATGAAGGATCCAAATCATTTATTATATGTTCCCACATAACCTCTAAACATTCACAAGATTCCTTTTGAGCTTTCCCATTCACAATTACAACTCTTCCGTCTGCCTTTACATGTCAACAAAGTATTGCACAAACGCTCCTTAGCCATGCATGCAGGTGCTTATCCAACCAGAGCCATGGGCTGTTCCTTTGGCTTTTTTCTTCTAGAGCTGTCCTTGCTTCTCAGTGTTGCTTTTCATGCTGTTTGTCTTGCTTCATAGCTGCTGCTCTGAATACTCTTTTTTGTATTCTCACCATTCCCCCTTTTTTATTTATTAGCAAACTACCACCACTATTTACTATAAAATAATAGCACTAATTATATTAATAGCATACTAATCAGAACTCAATCAAGGCCTTGATTGATAACACACTAACATAAGAGTTACACAGAAGGTCATGAGTTTTTTTAGCAGATATGTGCACACTCAGGCAATCTTAGACAATTCCATGAGTGGGAAATGGAAAATCCCTAAGTTAATGTGCTATTACTTATTAACTCCTGAGAGACAGCAAAACACCGAAAAGGAGAGAGAAGGAGCATGCTGGCATTGGATGTGATAGGCAGTGCCAGCAGGGCATCCCCTGCTTTGAAGTGCACTTTTCCTCTCTCACCCGCAACAGACTCCTGCTTTTATTCCTCTCGGGGTCTGCATGGTTTTTTGTATGGAGATCCCTGTGACCACTTTGTGATGCAGAGCCCAAGCAGAACACCTGCTCAAAAAACAAACTACTGAAGCTAGCTCTTTCTACAAACAAAACAGTTGCAGAAAGTATTCACAGTCACAGCTGCTTATTCCCACGGTTTCTTGCTGACCAAAGTGAGAATGTTGCCATCCACTCCCCGACATTGCTAACTGGATCTACATTGCCCAAATTGTCATTAGCTTGTACAAGCTTTTTAATCATAACTCTTACGCAGGATATAATGCAAGGGATATAGGTAAAAGGCACAAAAAAACTGATGCATTAGTCCTAACTTAATTAGTTTCTGAATCCAAGGGCCCAGACATTGAAACCACACATGGAACCACCCCCATGAATTTTCCACACGTAATTTCTGCACACCTTTCTGCAGTTGCTGAATACTTTCATGAATGGAAGTGGAAGGATCTGATAAGTTCATGCAGCACAGTCCTCCAGTGTCCTCACAGCCATGTCCTTGTGTGAGAAGCAGGAAGTCAATAGCAGCTCTGTTCTGCAGTGCACTGTGACAAACTGAGTCGACATCCTGTATCAGGCCTGAAAGTGCTTGCGAGGTTGCATTGGTCTGTTTGCTAAGCCAACATCCTAGCTTAATTAAACTAACTAATGCTTTAGCAGCTTCTACTAAGAGTGAAGAGTGATGCAAACATAATTGATTCCCAGTTGCAAAATATAATCTTCTCTTTGCAATCAAAAGCATGAATATTTCTTCAGATTCTACCATTTTGGTGTTTTGAAAGGATCACAGTCAGATTCGGTATTAATAAGGTCAACCTGTCCAAGGAGCAGGGCCCTCCTTTAATATATGATGGAATGTTTAGCCATGTGCAATCTCCACATATTAAAAATACTACTCGGGGTAGCTGAAGGTGTAAATTACTAGATATTGAAATATTTGAAGATGTGTAATTACACAAGGGTGATGCATTTCTATATGCCAGCATTGTAGCATTGACTGACCATGAAAGAGATTGATTGTTATAATAACAACAATACGCACCAATCCCTTATTACTGATCTCAAAAGTTCTAGCTCCTATGGAGTAGTGACAGTGGGGGCGAGTAGGGAACCCATTCATCCATTTCTCTCCCCAGACCTTCTCTTCCTGCACAACTGAGGAAGCACTAGTGGTGTGAGCCAGTTGTTCCCATTTTCCTTGATCAAGGGGAAGTCCTACCAGACACATGGTAATGGGGAGTCAGGGGATGATATTGATAAGCAGAGAGTGTTCTATCCAGTGTTGCTGGCAAGCATAACCCACACATTAGTCTTAGTGTGAAGGTACCCATACAGCTTTCATGATGATGGTGCAGCAGATGAAGGTGATGTCAACAAATGAGGTTCCACTGCCATTCCTGGCATCCATCATGGTCCTGCACCTATAGAAATGAAAGCAAAACCTCTCCCCCAAGTTATCAGTGGGAAAAGGCCTTCCCATTTACCTGATTCCTGATTCTTTACTAATACACTAGCTTTTCCATGAATATTCATTCTTTCCTTGTTTTCTGAAACAAAATGATGGGCCATCAGTGGTCCTCCATCATCACACCATTGATTTAAGAAGTTCGATACATGTGTGGCTTTAGCAAGCCTTTCTGCTGAAAGTGCCTTCTCCATTCCCTCTTTTTGCTTAAGTAGCATAGCCTTAAGGGTGCTGTGGGTACACTCAGCTATGGCTTATCCCATAGGCGAATGTGATATGCCACTGAGATGTTTAATTCCCCATAATTGTAGAAACTGTAATACTATCTGAGATACATCTCCCAGGCCATTTTCTATCTTAATAGTTTTTGGGTACCCCAAGAATTGCAAAGGCCAGAAGAAAATGCTTGCAGATGTTGCAGGCCTTTTCCCCAGTATGTGCTGTCACTGCTATGGCTCTGGAAAAGGTATCCATGGAGACGTGGACATATTTAAGTCTTCTGAATTCAGGGATGTGCGCGACATCTGTCTGCCATAATTCCAGAGCTGTTAGGCCTCAGAGATTAACCCCATGCAGTAGAGGAGGTGTCATCTGTTGGCAATCAGGGCATGCTGTAATTATCTGTCATGCCTGAGTCAAACTAAGGCTATAAGACTTTTGCAGCGCCTTAGCATTCTGGTGAAAAAAGGCATGTGACAGCCAAGCCTGCTCAAATGAATTGGGAAGAACAGGAACGCCAGCTAACTGATCAGCTTATTTGTTTCCTTCTGTTAAAGGTCCTGGAAAAACGGTATGTGATTGGATGTGTATTATAAAATATGGTTCCCATGGAGAGACATAAAGACTATACAGCAGCATGAACAGTTGTTAATTAGAAATGTCTCTTAGATATGATCCTTCTAGTCTAGTCAGTATTTCTGTAACATAGGCAGAATCAGTGACGATGTTAATTAGACTGGGCCACTTTTGAAATACTCTTACAACTGCAGCTAATTCTACAATTTGTGGAGAGCCTTTTATTGTCTAAATATCCAACTGCCATCAGCCAGATGTGTCCTACCATACAATACCGACTGACTTGTTCTTCCTGAGCCATTTGTGAATACAGTCAAGGTGTCTAAGGGTACCAAGGCACATTTTGGCATCTCCTGCATATTAAAATGCATTTGTAGCAATTGATGTTGCCTCAGTGAATTCCTCCACCGCTACCTGAAGAGGCAGTGAACATTGGGACAGCCATTGTAACATGTTTGTAGACACAGGTAACATAATTACTGAAGATTCAGCCCCACTCAGCAATAACAATCTTTGTCTTCCTTGCATAACAAGAGCAGAAATCATTTCAACTTTTGTGGTGATCATTTTGGAAAACTGATGTGACAAAAAGATCCATTCCAGTTAAAAGAGGATCCTGCGAAGTATTATTATTTCACTGAAAGAGGAGAGCATAAGGCTGAAAATCTGGATTCAGTACTGTTAAGTGGAATGGTAGGGCAGGGTCATATCACTGAGCTTGTCACTGCGACATAGTTGAGGCAACCTGCAAAGCTTGCTGCACTGCAGGTGTCAGTGATCTTTTGGAATTTATAGCTAGATTGCACTTTAATAACTGAAATAATGGGAGCAGGGTTTCATTAGGTATTCCTAGCAGAGGCCTGATGCAGTCCCTAACAGCCTTTGCATATCATTTAGAGTTTGAATGTCCAAATCCAGTTTATGGCATTGGAGTGATAGTCTGATTTGTAATTCACCATCCCAAATACTTCCATGGTGAACTCTCTTGGATCTTTTCTGGAGCTACCTCTAAACCACAGCTTCTTATGCTGTCAATGACTACAGCCATGGCATGTCACATTTCTTCACTTGACTTGGTTGCCACAAGAATGTCATCTGAGTAATTGTAAATAACAGAATTAAACAATTTTTGCCTCTCAGGGGCTCTGGTAACAAACCACTGAGGGATCATGGGGCTGTTTTTCATGTCCTGAGCTAATACCATCCAGTGATACCGCTTGGTT